AAAATCAACATTGTTTTACTGAACAATCACACGATAATAAATCACAGTTCATTTAGTGCCAACCACAGCCTTAAGACATGTGTTGAACGTGCCCAAGTCCATACTTATGAGAGCACCATGTGAGCACCTGTGTGTGTACACGCGCTTGTTTATGTAAGGTTTCTCTACAGGAGCGTCCAATAGAGAGTGTGAGGACCACAGATCTGCCCCCAAAGATGTGTAGGAGATGGAGGGAGCTCCAAGTCTCAGAGATCCAGGAGCTGCCCCAGAGCACAGGGACCCCAGGGAGACTGCGACTAGAAAAGCCCCCACCCCCCCCTCGAGAGGCACATAGGATCGCCCCGGGGGGGTCACAACCAGCAGCCGGCAGAGTCCCAGGGGATATCAGCGGCAAGCCCACAGGCCCACCCGCAGCCTCCCACCCCCAAAATTCCTATCTCAAAAAATTTGCATATCATGAAAAGGTTCTCTAAACGAGCTACTAACCTAATCATCTGAATCACCTATTTAACTCTAAACACCTGCAAAAGATTCCTGAGGCTTTTAAAATCTCCCAGCCAGGTTCATTACTCAAAACCGCAATCATGGGTAAGACTGCCGACCTGACTGCTGTCCAGAAGGCCATCAATGACACCCTCAAGCAAGAGGGTAAGACACAGAAAGAAATTTCTGAACAAATAGGCTGTTCCCAGAGTGCTGTATCCAGGCACCTCAGTGGGAAGTCTGTGGGAAGGAAAAAGTGTGGCTTTTTACAGATGAAAGCAAATTTTGCACGTCATTCGAAAATCAAGGTGCCAGAGTCTGGAGGAAGACTGGGCAGAGGGAAATACCATAATGCCTGAAGTCCAGTGTCAAGTACCCACAGTCAGTGATGGTCTGGGGTGCCATGTCAGCTGCTGGTGTTGGCCCACTGTGTTTTATCAAGGGCAGGGTCAATGCAGCTAGCTATGAGGAGATTTTGGAGCACTTCATGCTTCCATCTGCTGAAAAGCTTTATGGAGATGAAGATTTCATTTTTCAGCATGACCTGGCACCTGCTCACTGTGCCAACACCACTGATAAATGGTTTACTGACCATGGTATTACTGTGCTCAATTGGCCTGCCAACTCTCCTGACCTGAACCCCGTAGAGAACCTGTGGGATATTGTGAAGAGAACGTTGAGAGAAGCAAGACCCAACACTCTGGATGAGCTTAAGGCCGCTATCGAAGCATCCTGGGCCTCCATAACACCTCAGCAGTGCCACAGGCTGATTGCCTCCATGCCACGCCGCATTGAAGCAGTCATTTCTGCAAAAGGATTCCCGACCAAGTATTGAGTGCATAACTGAACACTTTTCTTTTATTGGTCGGATGAAATATGCTAATTTTTTGAGATAGGAATTTTGGGTTTTCATGAGCTGTACGCCAAAATCATCAATATTAGAAACAATAAAAGGCTTCAACTACTTCAGTTGTGTGTAATGAATCTGATATATATGAAAGTCTAATGTTTATCAGTACATTACAGACAATAATTAACTTTATCACAATATGCTAATTTTTTGAGAAGGACCTGTCGTCTTAGGAGAAAAGCCACACTTGAGATTACAAAATTCAAATGAACAGGCATTCAACCACAGGTGAGTCTAATGATTCCTCTAAGAGGTCTCCAGCAGACAGGTGACTATAAAAGGACATTATCTGCAAAGAAAAGCCATTCTCATTTCATGCTGTCAGCTATGGCTCTACATGGAAGGTAAATGTCACAAAATCTGAGAAAGGAAATCATTTCTTTACACAAAAAGGTGAGGGCTACAAGAAGATCAGCAAAGCTTCACATTTCAATCAGAATAATGTAGCAAAAGTGATTCAAAAACTTAAGAAAAATGAAAGTGCAACCATCTTACAGACGTCCAGGCCATCCACAGAAGTTAACATCGAGACCGGAGCGTCTTCTGATGAGAAAGGTTGGAGATCACCATGCAAGTTCACTGCAGTTAACTAAAGCAGTAGAAAGCCAAACTGGAGTGACCGTTTTCCATGACATCATACGGTGCACACTGCAGAGGAATAGCATGCATGGCTATTATCCATGAAGGAAGCCTACAGCATGCTCTAATGGGAAACAGGCTTCAACACAAACGGTTGTTTTCTGCTTGGTCCTAGAGCTCAACCAGTGTCAGTTTAATATAGCGTAATATTGTTTTTGGATGGTAAAAAGTGCATATACATTTATATATACATATGTATATGTGTAATATATATATATATATACATATATATAATATATATATACACACACATATATAAATATAATACATATATATACACACACATATATATGTATATAATACATATATACACACACACATATATATGTATATATATATATATGAATTAATGTGCATATGCACTACACCTACCATTATTGCATCCACATGCTAATCAGCCAATACTAACTTGCTAATGACCTTTATTTACAGGTGCTGGTCATAAAATCAGAAACACAAACTTGATTTATTTTAGGATTTCCATTCAAAAAGAGAAACTTGTATATTAGATGCATTCATTCCACACAAAATGATATTTTTAAAACATGTATTTATCTAATGTTATAATTACTGACAACTAACGAAAATCCCAAATTCTGTATTTCAGAATATTAAAGCATCAATAAAGACCAATGCAAAAAAGAATTTTAGACATGTTCACCAGCTAAAATCATGAACATGAGAAGTATGAGCATGTACAACACTCAGTGGGGCTCCTTTGGTCCGGATTACTGCAGCGTGGCACGGAGTCCATCAGTCTGTGGCACTGCTCAGGTGTTATGAGAGCCCACGATGCTCTGCTAGTGGCCTTCAGCTCTTCTGAGTTGTTGAGTCTGGACCATTGCATCTTCCTCTTCACAACACCCTTTAGATTTTTTTCTCGAACACAATGGACCGACACCAGCACGACATGGCACCCCAAACATCACTGACTGTGGAAATTTTACACGGGATTTCAAGGAATGTGGATTCTGTGCCTCTCCTCTCATCATCCAGACGCTGGGACTGTGGTTTCCAAAGGAAAAGCAAAACGTACTTTCACCAGAGAACATAACTGTGGACCACTCAGCAGCTGTCCAGTCCTTTGTCTTTAGCCCAGGCGAGACGCTCCCGACGCCGTCTCTTGTTCCAGAGCAGCTTGACACAAGGAATAAGAAAGCTGAAACCATGTCGTACATTCGTCTGTGTGTGGCGGTTCTTGAAGCACCGACTCTAGCTGCAGTCCACTCTTTGTGAATCTTCCCCACATTATTGAATGGATTTCATTTCACAATCCTCTCCAGGGTGCAGTTATCACTATTACTTGTTCACTTTGTTCCACCACATCATGTCTTTCCCTTCACCTCACTATTAACTCATTCACTGCCAGCCGTTTCCTGATCGGTAAAGCTCTTCGCTGCCAGCGTTTGTCACCGTTTTACTGTTTAAGAGTCACAGAACGTTGCGCGCTAGGATGATGTCGATGTCAAAACAACCAAAACAAAGCGGAGACTCACCTCTTACATCAGGAAGAATCCGCCTGTTTCGAACGTTATCCGTTCTTTCATAATCCATTATCGAATTGTGATCGGCAGACGCTTTTCCCGTTTGCGCCTCATTTTTTTTTTCACAGGAACGGCCCAAAACGATCTCCTAACACATGGATGTTCTGCTCCCTGATCACGTGACATATGGGGATGAAGATCGGCTTCGGAGCTGGGATGTTTGTTCTCTCAGCGCGGGGGCTTGTTCCGATGCCCAAACAGCAAAAAAAAATGCCAATGACAACTAAAGTCGTCATTGGCAGTGAATGAGTTAATGTGCTTGGACAGAGCTCCGAACAGCTAGCGTCTTAAATTTCTGGGATACAAAATTTGGGAATTTTCATTAGCTATCATCTATAATAATCAAAAACAAAATAAACATTAGAAATATATCAGACAGCATGTAATGAATGGATTTAATTAGGGATACTCGTCTGAAACGAGTATCCGGTACGGATAAAGCATTTTTGACGAGTACGAGCATGAAACGAGTAAAACTCGTAAATATCTGTAATCGTGCTGAAGGAAAATCCTCATTGGGTAACTGACTGTCTTCCCGCTCTGTGATTGGCCAGTCAAATAGAGCACCCGCCCCTCCCTACACACAAAACTCTGCAGCCGGGAGCTCACAGCTCAGTCCGCGTCCGGTCCACACACACACACACACACACACACACACACACACACACACACACACACACACAGGTGGTGATGAGCTAGCTACAAAGCCACACCTTCCCTGGGGCAAAGCTATCATACACAGGCGTCACCGGTCACCCTGACCCCAAAGATTTATTGCCATGTAGGCGAGAGGCTCATCTATTAGGAATTTGTTTTGGGGGAAAGGTGCAAACATACATTCAAGTTAAATTCAGGTCATGGAATGCTGCTCTGTAGCACCTTAAACAGGTCGGTCGTGCTGGAGAACCACCTCTGTGGCTGAAATACAACAATTTAAATATGACGGGGACAAATGTCCTCCACTTGCTGATGAGCGTCATCAAACAGGCTCGACCGCTGAGAGCTACGAGTTTGGGTAACAGTTCCCTCATAGATGGAGTCGTTTTGAAACTGACGTTTGCAAAAGAAGCTCAAGAGTGACTGAGAACAGACAGTGTGAGGATGATGTCATCAGTAACGGTTCACCATGAACACAACTCAGACGTCATTCAGGTGAAGTGTGCCGTCTGACATGGAGGGACAACCCAAGCATGAGCAGAAGCTGAAAGTAAGCCACCCAGCAGACGAGGACGCCGTGGCAGCAAGTCGTGCTGCGAGTGCAGGAAGCATCACTCCACACATGGAGATCAGGTTATGCACGTGTTCGACCAGCAGGGGGACATGCTGTCCTACAGCTGGACGTCTGATCACCGGATTGGGAATAAAGAATAAAACATCTGAATGTTTACTTAAGAAAATGTAATCAAATAAGTTTTAGCCAAAAATGAGGAAATCTACTTTAATTTTTTCATGAGTTTAAGGAAAAAGCTGCTTTAATCTAATCTGATTGAAGCGAAATGACAGTCCTGCACATCATGTGTGGATTTAAAATGAAAGATGAACGACAGAAACAAACTAGATACAGACGATTAGCTGAGCTTTGGTCGGTGTGAATCTTTGGATGATGCAGTCAGAAATCCCAAACTGGGACTAGTTTCATCAGATTACTGGTAGAGTTCACACACACACACCAAGTTCGTTCAAGGTTTTAATCCCATTTCTGTAACCGCGTCCTCACTGCGGCCGACCAGGGCGGTTGAAAAACGGCTCCGTCTCTGCTGCAGTGGTCTCCGAATCGCCGAAGAGAGCTCCAGCCGGTGTGGGAATCATCTTTGACCCGGAGCCCTGGCGGCGCTGAAGGATCACCAGAACCCCAATGGTGAGCCAGAGGAAGAAGTTGACCCAGACGGCCGTCTGGAGGAGGAAAGAGATGAGATCTAACCTGGTTTTTTTTTTTTACAGACACACAAAGTTCTTCACAGGATTCATCTTTAATGTCCGCCGGCGCTTCCTCGCACCTATAACTGGTGCTTCATCACATCTCATCACTCATCTTGCACCTTTTGACTAATTCATCATGAATGTTTGCTGGAATTCAAACCTCTGCTTTGTGAAGGTTGCTGTAGAAGCTCTCTCCATGAAGCTGACCCGCCCACGTAGACTTCTGAGCATCCTGACATCTAGAAGAGACACGGCGTTAAAAAACAAACATCCTCCTAAAATATGACTGCAGCCTGAAAATCCCGCCTCTACGATAAGAACAAAGACCGACCGTGTGTTCTGTCGAAATGACGGGGAGGACTAAACTCAACATCAGATGCGTATTTTCAGGGTCAGGGTAGGTAAATAACTAAATATCAGTAAATAATCTCCTTCAGAAGGAGACGCCTGGTTAGAAACACGTCATCTAAACAACCCCCTCTGTCGTAAACACAGAATCTGCTGTAGGGATCATTAAATCTGCTCTAAAACTCATCAGAAGGTTTTAGCTGATAAAATGTGACTTGAACAGAAGAACCTGAAGTGCAGCTGATGCATTCAGGCCCAAACTCCTCAAGTTTACCTAAAAAACACTTAGAAAAAAAGATGAATAAAGTTACAGGAATCTAAAAACACTTAGAGGATGGAGCTTCTACTGACAGCTTAGGAGGAAGTAGCAGCAAACAGATCGAAGCTCCCTGGGTTTGGCGTCATCTTCGACTACATGAGAGCTTCTGGTTTCTAAAGCCATGTCTGAACATGCTCGGGTGCTCGTGTGCATGTCTAGGCCACCTGGTTATGTTAGGAACCGCGTGCATGATGGAGTCGCAGAACGTGTCACGCCCGATCTTCAGCACGCAGCCTGCGATGAGCAGGAAAAACAGGAAGACGCCAGAAACCACCATGATCAGGTTCAGCCACACGCACGCCCTGGGAGGGGTGAGACAGGAAGAGCATGAAGACAAACCCGAAAACCTGTGATCCAAATGACAGAACGGCTGTTTTAGCGTCAGCTACATCACTCCTGCTCTCGGTTTACCTGTCTGAGAGGAAAACCTCTGCTGAAGCATTTCTACTGTCTGAACCTGTAGAGCACAGGTGTCCAACTCCGGCTCTCCACGGCCGCTATCCCACATTTTCTAGTATTTTCCCCTTTTCAACACACCTGATTTCAACCAGCAGGTGATTAACAGGCTTCTGGGGAGCTCGATGAGCTGCTGCACAGGCGAATCAACTGTGTTGGAACAGGGAAACAACAAAAAGATGCAGGATATCAGCCCTCAGGGGCTGGAGTTTGACACCCCTGTAGGCATGGTAACGCCACAACACTGCTTCATCTAATGCATGACTCTGTCAGCAGTTATGCTTCACGTTTAACTCACCAGACATTATTTTAGATACGGCTGCTCTACAGGAAGAGCTAATCAGCCAATCACTTAAAAAAATGCTAATGCTCAAACTAAATATTTAGTTTTTAAACTAAATAAACTAAACTAAATAATTATGGCAAACCTAAATATCTATTTTCTAAACTAAATATTTGTTTCTGAGTACACAAAATAAATATTTAGTTTGGTAAATAAATACATACAGTTGTGGTCAGAGGTTTACATACACTTGTAAAAAATATAATATAATGGCTCTACTGAGTGTCCCGTTATTTCTAAAACTCTGATTTTTCTCTGATAGAGTGATTGGAACAGATACTTCTTTGTCACAAAAAACATTCATGAAGTTTGGTTCTTTAATGTCTTTATTATGGGTTAACAGAGAAAAGTGATCACATTTGCTGGGTCACAAATATACATACAGCAGTGCTAATATTTGGTTACATGTCCCTTAGCCATTTTCACTTCAATCAGGCGCTTTTGGTAGCCATCCACAAGCTTCTGGTTGAATCTTTGACCACTCCTCTTGACAGAATTGGTGAAGTTCAGTTAAATTTGATGGCTTTCTGACATGGACTTGTTTCTTCAGCACTGTCCACATGTTTTCAATGGGGTTTAAGTCAGGACTTTGGGAAGGCCATTCTAAAACCCTTATTCTAGCCTGATTTAGCCATTCCTTTACCACTTTTGATGTGTGTTTGGGGTCATTGTCCTGTTGGAACACCCAACTGCGCCCAAGACCCAACCTTCGTGCTGATGATTTGAGGTTATGTTGAAGAATGTAAAGGTAATCCTCCTTCTTCATTATCCCATTTACTCTCTGTAAAGCACCAGTTCCATTGGCAGCAAAACAGCCCCACAGCATAATATTCCCACCACCATGCTTGACTGTAGGCATGGTGTTCTTGGGGTTAAAGGCCTCACCTTTTCTCCTCCAAACATTTTGCTGGGCAATGTGGCCAAAAAGCTCGATTTTCGTTTCGTCTGACCACAGAACTTTCCTCCAGAAGGTCTTATCTTTGTCCATGTGATCAGCAGCAAACTTCAGTCGAGCCTTAAGGTGCCGCTTTTGGAGCAAGGGCTTCCTTCTTGCACGGCAGCCTCTCAGTCCATGGAGATGCAAAACACGTTTGACTGTGGACAATGACACCTGTGTTCCAGCAGCTTCTAATTCTTGGCAGATCTGCTTTTTGGTGATTCTTGGTTCACTCTTTACCCTCCTGACCAATTTTCTCTCAGCAGCAGGTGATAGCTTGCGTTTTCTTCCTGATCTTGGCAGTGATGAAACAGGGCCATGCACCTTATACTTACAAACAACTGTTTGCACTGTTGCTCTTGGGACCTGCAGCTGCTTTGAAATGGCCCCAAGTGACTTTCCTGACTTGTTCAAGTCAATAATTCGCTTTTTCAGATCCATGATGAGCTCCTTTGACTTTCCCATTGTAGCGTTTGTGGGCGTTTGTATCCAATGAGCTCTATTTACCTGGCCTAAGAGAAGTCACCCGCTGTAGTCACTTATAATCACTCACAAGAAGTTAAGAGGCCATGCTATGAAGCTCAGTTCACTGACACGTTTCTAAGTCACCAAAATTGCTAGTTCATGTTGCTGTATGTATATTTGTGACCCAGCAAATGTGATCACTTTTCTCTGTTAACCCATAATAAAGACATTAAAGAACCAAACTTTATGAATGTTTTTGTGACAAAGAAGTATCTGTTCCAATCACTCTATCAGAGAAAAATCAGAGTTTTAGAAATAACGGGACACTCAGTAGAGCCATTATATTATATTTTTTACAAGTGTATGTAAACTTCTGACCACAACTGTAAGTCTGACTTAAATATATATTTGAGCTTAATATTTGGTTAATTAGCTAAATATTTAGCTCCCAACAAAGTATTTTGATCCAAGCAAAATATTTAGTTAATAAATTTAATGTTTATTTTGCTAAATAAATACTTAACTCTAAATTAAATAACTAAATATTAAATTAGGAACTGTAAAGATTTTACCTCATGACATTCTAAATTAACCAAAATATTGTTAAATTCTGACTGCGTTTACAAATGGCACCCCATAGAGGATGTGATCTTGTGCATATGAAAAATAATCCCAGTAATATACGTATTAAAAGGAAAACCCTTAAACCCTAGTAATAAATCTAAGCAGTGTGTGATTTACAGCAACAAGATCAGGTCACACACCTCACAGCCACGTGCTTTGGTAGCTGTTAACAGGTGAAACAATGACATGAAATACGTCACCTTTGCACGTCGGCCTCCATGCAGAGAGTGTAGACCCAGTAGAGAACCAGGGAGAAGCACACCACTGCCACCAAGATGGAGACGGCCGACACAAAATAACAGAGAGAGGACGAGCTGGCCGACTGGACCCAGATGGTCCCGTTGTAGCTGACGGTTCCGTACAGCACACACTGACCTCGGAAGCTGCCCTGGTGTGGAGGAAAAACCAGACACAGCCGAGTTTAGGATCAGCTGCGACAGAGGAGCGCCTGGGGTCACGAGACCGGCGCGTGCAGTTTTCATAAATGCACATTTCCTGACCCAGAAGTTCTAAAGTGTGTTTCTACCCAGCTGCGTAGCTAGATCTCACAGATGGAGGCGTTTTCCACACTAACGCGTTCATTCGCTGTAGTGCGGATATAAACAGAGGCGAAACGAGCAGAAAGTGAAAGCGCGTGCCATCTTTTTAAATCTCCTCGCGCTCTGATGTTCACAGTTACTAATGTGTTGCTACGTGAAATCAATTATTGGCAAGAAGGGGGTCAATAAATTGATTCATCACACTGACAGTGTCATAAAACCTAACGGTTAGAAACCAAATTCAGTACATGCTTTTAAAAAGAGCCATTTTCCTTTTGGTTCCGATTTTTAAAACTTTTTAACCACTTCTGAAAAAGGTTAGCAGACCCGGAAGAGAGCAGATTGGTGTTGGTGAAGTAGTTTCCTGTGTGGAGGTTCACCTGGACGATGGTGAGTGTGGCGGCGGTGACGATGCCACAGATGAAGCAGCAGGCGTACAAAACCAACTCCAGCCGCAGCAGCACCGGGGACACCGCCATCATCCCGGCGGACAGTCTGGAAACCGACCGAGTCAAGGCACACGCAATGAGACACGGGAACTTCCGGCGAGGTGTTTCAAAATAAAACAACAAATGGTTAACTGCAGCAGGTTGCAGTACAAATGAGAGCGTGTGTGTGTGAGTGTGTGTGTGTGTGTGTGTGTGTGTGTGTGTGTGTATGTTCTTGTACATACTACATTTTGAGGACCATTTTGACAAAGCCTACCAGTTGATTTAGAGGTATGAGTGGAAGTCAATGGAGGATCCTCACTATGATAGAAAGACAGACAGTGTGTGTGTGTGTGTGTGTGTGTGTGTGTGTGTGTGTGTGTGTGTGTGTGTGTGTGTGTGTGTGTGTACGTCACCGGACAGAACATAGTCAGATGCAACTGCCAAATTTAAAATAGCATCTTGATAACACTTGTTCATGTATTATCACTGTCAACTGACCACTACCTGGTGCTGAGTTGGCTCAGATGGTCGCCAGTCAGACCAGGCAGGCCCAAACGTATCGCGAGGGTCTGCTGGGAACGTCTGGCAGAGTCTCCTGTCAGAAGGAGCTTCAATTCCCACCTCCGGCAGAACTTCCAAAATGTTCCGGGAGAGGTGGGGGACATTGAGTCTGAATGGACCCTGTTCCGTGCCTCCATTGCTGAGGTGGCCGACCGGAGCTGTGGACGCAGGATCGTCGGTGCCTGTCATGGTGGCAACCCCCGAACCCGCTGGTAGACACCGGCGGTTAGAGAAAGAGTCCTATCAGGTCTTTTTGGCCTGTGGGACTCCAGAGGCAGCTGACGGGTACCGGCAGTCCAAGCGGAACGCGGCTCGGGTGGTTGCCAAGGCAAAAACCCGGGCATGGGAGGAATTCGGTGAGACCATGGAGCAAGACTTCCGTACGGCTTCGAGGAGATTCTGGCAACTTGTCGGTTCTGCCTATGACAGCGTGAGAGCATTCTCCACAAAACTTGTGTTATGGAAAGCCCAGCTCTCTCAGACCAACCTTTGCCATTTCCCAGCACGCAAGACACTCGTGGATGCGGCCACACCATTCAGTGCCCAGAAGTATGTTGGTGTCATTTTGAGGCTGCATGAGGAATTTGATCACAGATTTGCAGACTTCAAGAATCACAGAGCCACTTTTCAAATTTTTGTTGATCCCTTCTCATTTGACGTGCAGGATGCTCCTCCTGTGCTTCAAATGGAGCTTAGTGAGCTGCAGTGCAACTCTAAACTCAAAGCAAAGTTCAGGGAGGTGAATGGAAAAGCAGACAAGCTTGGGCAGTTTCTCAGAGAGTTGACCCCTAGCTTCCCTGAACTTTCCTGAATGTTCAAGCGGAGGATGTGCCTTTTTGGGAGCACATACTTGTGCGAAAAGCTCCTCTCCACCTTGAAATACAGCAAGTCCAAGGACAGGTCCAGACTAACTGATGATCACCTTCAAGCCATACTTAGGGTCTCAACTGCTTCCTCCCTTAGGCCAAACATCGCTCAGCTATGTGAGAGGAGGCGCAGCAAGGATTAGGCAAGAGAAACTATGTTCAGAAGAACAGTTCATGTTCCACTAATGTTCGGAAGAAGGTTAAAGAACTGTTAATCCAGACATTTGAATCTGAATACAAACAGCCATTATTGGTTTCTAAAGAAACCAAATAGTCGCTGAGAAATCAAATAATTTTATTTATTCATTACTAATTTGTTGTATATTTTTCCATCTTATTTAGTGTTAAATGAAAATAAAGAGATTTGAGAAGATGTTTTTTTGACATTGCTTTTCTTGTGGAAAACCTAATGTGGCCCAGCCTCACCTAGAATCTACCTTCAGCGGCCCTCAGCTAAATTCAGTTTGAGACCCCTGCGCTAGGGTTTCCTATTTCTCCAACCTGGTGTCCCAGAGCAAAGGGAAGCCCAAGGTGCTGTTTAACACCATCAGCAGCATCGTGTCTCCTGCCTCTCCTACAGCCTCCATCCACTCTGTTGCAGACTGTGAGAACTTTCTGTCTTTCTTGTGGACAAAGTCAATAAGGTTAGATCTAGCATCTCTCCTTCAGCCTTATCGCTGCCTCTCCCGACTCCAACCAGGCCCATCATCCTAGATAGCTTTGCTCCTGTTTCTTTGCCTGAGTTAACCAAACTAGTTAACTCTATGAAGACCTCTGCATGCCTCCTCCACATCTTACCCTCATCTTTGTTTAAAAGTGCTTTTCAGTCCATCGGTCCCAGCGTGCTCTCTATAATTAATGCTTCTCTGGTTTCTGGTCAGGTCCCTGCTTACTTTAAGAACGCTGTAATCCACCCGCTTCTTAAAAAAACCGAGTCTCGACCCCTCTCTCCATAGCAGCTTCAGACCATCTCTAAACTTCCGTTCATCTCCAAGATCTTGGAAAAGGTAAACAACTCACAGCTGCTCTTGATGAACATAACATCTATGATAGCTTCCAGTCAGGTTTTAGTAGAGCTCATTCTACTGAAACAGCTCTTCTTAGGGTATCTAATGACCTTCTGACCCACAGTGATGCAGGGGACTGTTCTGTTCTGGTCCTGCTGGACCTGACTGCAGCCTTTGACACTGTTGACCATCACCTGCTACTGGAGAGGCTCAGAGACTGGGCAGGCCTATCAGGAACTGCTCTGGAGTGGTTCTCCTCTTATCTCTCTGAGCGCTCCTTTTCTGTGGCCGTCTCCAAGTTTAGGTCCTCCACCACCTCTCTTACCCATGGTGTCCCACAAGGTTCTGTGCTGGGGCCTCTGCTCTTCCTCCTATATCTGCTTCCTCTTCAGCACTTCCTGAGCTCCTTCAAAGGAATCTCCTACCATCTTTATGCAGATGACATCCAACTTTACATCTCCTTCAAGCCCCATGAGATGTCTAAGCTGCAGCTGTTACACACCTGCTTAGACTCTATCAAAGCCTGGATGGTGGGAGCTTTCTTCAGCTGAATGAAGATAAGACTGAGATCCTCATCTGTACCCCAGACAAGCTGGTTCCCAAAGTCAGAGACTCTCTTGGTCAGCTTGCGTCCCTCACCAAACCTTCTGTCAGGAATCTTGGTGTGACCTTTGACCCAGCTCTCACCTTGGATTCTCATGTCAGTTCTCATGTTCGCTCTTCCTTCTCAGGAACGTTGCTAAGCTGAGTCCCATTCTGTCCCGCTCTGAACTTGAGACAGTTCTCCACACCTTCATCTCCTCACGCTTAGACTACTGTAACTCTCTTTTCACGTGTCTGAGCAGAACCTCCCTGAACCGTCTACAGGTGGTTCAGAACGCCTGTGCTCGGCTTCTGACCAAGTCCTCCAAACACACCCACATCACCCCGCTTCTCCTCCAGCTTCACTGGCTGCCAGCCAACTTCAGGGTTCATTTCAAGATCCTGGTTCTGGTCTATAGGGCCTTACATGGACAAGCACCATCTTACATTGGTGATCTTCTTAGTCCCTACACCCCCAGCAGGTCCCTGAGGTCCAGTGATCAAAGCCTACTGGTTGTGCAGCACCAGGCTAAAGGTCAAAGGTGACAAATCATCTGCTGCTGTGGCCCCCAGACTCTGGACCTCTCTCCCCCTGAGCCTGAGATCAGTGGACTCAGTGGTCTCCTTTAAAAAGCAGCTGAAGACTCACTTGTTCAAGCTGGCTTTTGTATGACCTTCTTCACCTCTCTCTCTTTATTCTGCTCTCCCCACCTATTCCACCTTCCTCAGGATCTACTGATTTCCCTCTTTCCTGTTCACTCTCTCTCTTTCTTTACATTTTTTAATCACAATTGTCTATTTTTTGCTCATTTAAAATATATTTTTAACCATTTTCCAAATTCTTTTTTTACTTTTACAGTTTTTGTTTTTGTGAAGCCCCTCGTGATTTCTATCTTGAGAGGTGCAATAGAAAAGATATTTTCTTCTTCTTCTGTGCCAGCCCAAATCGGCATTTAGCCGGATTGACAATCTGACGATTTTCAGCCTAACGTTGGAAAACTTGGCGCAGGTGATTGACATGTTGTTCGGCAGAGTGGTCGGCAACCAAGATGTCATAAACATAGACAAAAATCAAGGACAAACCTCACAAAACTGAGTCCATCAACCGCTGGAAGGTTTGCACGGCACCTTTAAGGGCAAAGGGCATGCATAAAAATTCAAAGAGGCCAAAAAGGGTGAATACAGCAGTTTTTGGACTGTTCTCCGCATTAGGGTCGCCACTGTCCATCAGCTTTGGGCAGGGGTGGACTGGGACCAAAATTCGGCCCTGTCATTTTTACAAATCGTTGTCCCTCCCCATTGGGAAAGCGGTGGGGGTGGGGGGGGGTGTTGCCACCCGCAGACTCGTCTCTAGACAGAATGTGAGATCTAATATGGACTGGGACTGTTAAATTACAAGCAGGGCCAGACCGCTGCGACTGGGAGCCCTGGCCTTCCAGATCAGCTCATTCTCCACGGGCGGAGGTCAGCGGGACATTAGCTACATGCTAACGCGGTAAAACAACTCCTAAGTCATCGCTCTACCTCGTTTTTCTTGCTTAAAACATCTGGAAAAACTGTTAGCTTCGGGTTACCATGTAGCTAGTGTTCTGCAGATCACCAACTGTGGAGTAGTGTCGGCCCAAGCTGGGCAAGCAGCCCACTTGGCTAAGAGGCCCACCGGGACAGTGCCAGAATGCCAGATAGGCCAGTCCACCCCTGGCCTTGGGCACCATGTGCATTGGGGAAGCCCACGGACTGTTAGAGCGGTGCACAATGCCCAAATGCTCCATGTTTGCAAATTCTGTACGCGTGACGGCCAGCTTAGCTGTGTCAAGGCGGCGTGGGCGTGCAAAGACGGGTGGGCCAGGAGTGGGGATAAAATGTTCAATGCCGTGTTTACCTACAGAGATAGAAAAGTTAGGGACTGTGAGAGTGGGGAACTCAGATAACACACGCTGGAAGGTATCTCCTGTAGAGGAAATGAGCATGCATTTGAGGTCCGGTCCTTTTTGTCATACATGGCATGGATACAAAAGACACAACATCAATTCACCGCCTGTTGGCTAAGTCAACTAGAAGTCCATTTGCACAGAGAAAATCTGCACCTAAGATAGGAACTGAACAAAGCCCGGTTCCCCGGCGTCTTTGAGTGTCGATGCCAGCCGCTACGGCCGGCTCTGCCAGTTCAGAGGAGCTGAGCAGATGATTGGATGAGGTCCCTGGGGGAACCGGAACCACAGCCTGGCTCATGAAGGTTTTTGTGACTAGAAGGGCTAGCTCAGCTTCCTCGCCAGCACACAGTAATCCTGTTGCAGTGAAGCAGAGTTTGCGAGAACGGCCCGCACCTGAGCTGAAAGCTGACGGAGGAAAAGGTGGCCAAAGAGGAATTCTCCGTCGTCGGAACCAAGTAGGGAGAGCATGCTCTCCATAAGCTCCAGGGCGGTGCCATCTCAGAATCCGGCGGGAGAGAGCAGCTTCTTTGCTCATTCTGTGTCAGAGACGGTGTAGTACAACCAGCAGTTGCTGAGGGTATTAAACATCTCCCAGGCTGGAGGGTTCGGGAGCAGGCACATCACCCATCGGGTGGAGAGTGGGTCTAGTGCAGCGACCACATGGTGGTATTTCGCGTCATCAGAAGAAATGCTGCGCAGTGAAAAAACTATGCTGAAGGGTCATGGAGCCAAAAATCTGGAAGCTTAACAGCTACGGCAGACGAGAACTGTGGGGCCAGCTGTGGTCCAGCAGGCGTTAGCGGTGCTGAAGCTTGTTGGTCCATTTTGTTGGCTGACATGTTCGCTCTCGGGGTCACCAATGTGGATGAGACAAGGACAAGACAAAGGTTGGTTTCATTCACACCTTTAGTATCTCAACACTGTGTCCTTCTCCTCTGTGTTGGTGATTAAAAGCAGTCTCAACTCATTTACATACAGTGAGGAATATAAGTATTTGAACACCTGGCAATCAGCAAGAATTCTGGCTCTCAAAGACCTGTTACTCTGCCTTGAAGAAGTCCACTCCACTTAGTAATCTAATTAGTAGGACCTGTCTGAGCTCTTTAAAGACACCTATCCACACCACAGTCAATCAGACTCCAACTACTACCATGGGCAAGACCAAGGAGCTGTCAAAAGAAACCAGAGATATAATCGTGGACCTCCACAAGACTGGAAAGGGCTACGGGGAAATTGCCAAGCAGCTTAGTGAAAATAGATCAGCTGTTGGGGCAATTGTCAGAAAATGGAAGAGGCTAAAGACGACTGTCAGTCTCCCTCGGACTGGGGCTCCATGCAAGATCTCATCTCGTGGGGTATCACTGAAGATAAGAATCAGCCCAGAACTACACGGGAGGATCTGGTCACTGACTTGAAGAGAGCTGGGACCACAGTTTCAAAGGTCACTGTTGGCAGAACACTATGACGTCATGGTTTCAAATCACGCATTGCACGAAAGGTTCCCCTGCTCAAGTCATCACATGTCCAGGCCCGTCTGCAGTTTGCCAGTGACCATCTGGACGATCCAGAGGAGGCATGGGAGAAAGTCATGTGGTCAGATAAGACCAAAGTAGAACTTTTTGGTCTTAACTTCACTCGCCGTGTTTGGAGGAAAAAGGAGGAGTTGCATCCAAAGAACACCTTCCCTACTGTGAAGCATGGGGGTGGAAACATCATGCTTTGGGGGTGCTTTTCTGCAAATGGGACAGGACGACTGCACTGTATTAAGGAGAGGATGAATGGGGCCTTGTATTGGGACATTTTGAGCAACAACCTCCTTCCCTCAGTCAGAGCACTGAAGATGGGCCGTGGCTGGGTCTTCCAACATGACAATGACCCGAAGCACACAGCCAGGACAACCAAGGAGTGGCTCCGTAAGAAGCATATCAAGGTTGTGGAGTGGCCTAGCCAGTCTCCAGACCTAAATCCAATCGAAAATCTTTGGAGGGAGCTGAAACTCTTGTGTTGCTCAGTACCAGCCCCAGAACCTGACAGATCTAGAGGAGATCTGTGTGGAGGAGTGGGCCAAAATCCCTGTTGCAGTATGTGCAAACCTGGTCAAGAACTACAGGAAACGTTTGATCTCTGTAATTGCAAACACAGGCTTCTGTACCAAATATTAATACAGATTTTCTCAGGTGTTCAAATACTTAAGTGCAGCAGTGCAAAACAAATAAATTCTTTACAAATCATACAATGTGATTTCTGTCTCCCACAGTGGGAATGCACCTACAATGTGAATTTCAAACCCCTCCATGATTTCTAAGAGAACTTGCAAAATCACAAGGTGTTCAAATACTTATGCTCCTCACTGCACAAACCTGCTTAAATTCAAATTCAAAGATACTTTATTACAGTGATCCCTCGCTACTTCGCGGTTCGTTTATCGCGGATTCACGACTTCGCAGTTTTTTTCTTTGGAGCCTTATTCAAGGGAAATTCGCGGTATTTTTCTATGCGAAATATCAAGAAATTCCAGTTTTTTTCATCAATTTCATCATAAAATGCACTTTTTGTAATAAAACTATAAACCAAGTAAAAAAAATTCTACGTAAAGGGAGGGTTTCAAAAGTCTGAATACTGAATACGTACCTGTTAAATAAATACTGTAAATATGGTGTCCCTACTTTGCGGATTTTCCCCTATCGCGGCCAGGTCTGGAACGCATCTACCGCGATAAACGAGGGATCACTGTAATCTCGGGGGGAAATTCAGTTAGAAGCAAAAAGAGAAGCCATCTGTGAGGGGAGAAATACTTTTCTTCACCACTCTGAATGTGCACCACCCCTTAGTGTGTGTGTGTGTGTAATCAAGTACACACATCTACTGACACAAGTCTGGTATGACTTTAATTAGCTTTTCAGTTTCAACCAATCAAAAGATCCTCAGCTCGACCGAGGCACAGAACTACAGTAAGTACTACAAAGTTTACTTTTTTAGAGTATGTAAAAAGTAAATCACAATAAGAGATCACAATCTAAAGGCCAATCTGCACCAGAATTCACAACACAATTATTCATACGAAGGAAAAAGAGTCACAATGTACACAACATTTTAAACATTGTACAAGTGTCTTATTCAGTTTACCGTCACGGAAAAAGATATTTCAAATGTTTTTACAAGAAAAGTACATCAAGTAAACAATAAAACATCAATATGTCAAATTCTATTCCTGTTGACAGGTTTCCATGTTGACTGAAATTCACTGTCATGCATAAAAGCAGTAAAATGAATAAATGTTGAACAATGAGCAACACCCACAAGCAAAATAAACCCTCAGAGTGACATTGTTACTTCAAAAATATTCAAGTTATAGAATTTTATAGAAGCCCAAATACGGTGTGCTTACATATTCTTGTTTGATTGTTAATTTAAAAAAATATTGTTCATCAGGAGGCTGAAAGACATGGCAGCTTATTTGTTTTTTATCTCTGAAAGCATGTTTAAAAAACTCAGCAGGAAATACAGGATTTGTTTTTTTTAATGAAGCTGCCTCATTTTAACACACAAGTGCAACTCTGCGTAACTCACACACATTTACAGTAATTATTTCCTGTCTCCGGCTGCTCCGACTCTCCTCCCCAGGAGAGCTTTCTGCAGAAGAAGATATGGGACAAAGCCAAGTGAGGAATGTTTGGAGAAGAAATTCCAGCTTGGTGCATTTTAACTCACTGGTATGGGCACGTCTGTGATAAGTGCAGTCACAAGACTCTGGTTTGAGCTCTGAGAATGTCTTGTGTGGATTTTATGCATGTTTTCCTTTTGCACAACAGTTAGAGCAACACATCTTTTTGTTCTAAATAATTTAAAATGAATAGTGAGCAAAGCGTTTAGATTTTGAGCATGCATTTGTCTTCATGTACAAGATGAGAAGCAGCGGGGTCATCATCAGCCCACTGGACAACCGGGCATCCTGAAGGCCTCTGGCAGAGGACTGTCAAGCTTACAGATGATCTTGTATATTCCCTTCTTCCAGCAGGGGTCGCTGTCTCTCCCGGTCCAAATGGCTGAGTAGAACTCTCTCAAAGCCACCTCTGACACCTCGATAAACCTCTCGGGAACCTGAGGACAGAAGCAAACACACGGTAAAGGACAACATTAGAATACTTTATATGATCGAAATTAATCTAAATTAATCAATCAAACCTAATTTATGAGGCAGCTTTAATAAACCTGGGTGCTTTACAGCAGAATTAAAATACAACGTAATAAATAAATACAAATTCATTGGCTGAAATAAGTTTTAGAGGGATTAATGACTAATATGAACAATTCACGAGGGAACACCAGAGGTTTTAAGTGGAGTAAGCTAAAATAAAAAGGCTCTAAAAACCTAACGGATCTATTTTAGTATACTAACACTTCCACTGTCTTATCAGGTGACCCCGCCAGGAAAGTTGACCATTGAGAAGGACGTGAGGAGGAGGTGAGGAGTGAGCACCTCCTCCTCACCCCTGCCACGTGGACCTCAAGAGCAGTGGCGGCTCCAGAAATGTTTTTCTGCAGGTGCTACGAAGGAGCTAGTCTTTTTATTGAGGGTGCTATGAAGGAAGTGGTCATGCTTACTTATTGTTCTCTAAAACACCTTCAACACTAGCAGACACACATGTGTGCACAACACCTCAACAACACCTGAAACAATCATTAATATACATCATAAACATATGAACAATCACTGACTTTTCCATGAAATCATAAACACATACAGCCACACAGAAAACCATCTATAGTGTAGCAAGGTTAGCTAACGCTAGCGTTAGCATTTCCAGCGGCTAAACCCTGGACTGCTGCGGCGGTTGAGGGTTGACTCTCTTCATCCAGATCCGTAGGTGTTTGTGGGTCTGAGATCACTTCCAAACATTCATTCGTTTCTGACTGAACCCGTGGAAATGTGGGCAACAAAAACCGATCCATTTTACCGCTAGCTAGCTCTACCTTTCACTCGTTCACAGGTGGAAAATGAGGTCAAAGGTTAACATCTATTTCCTGTTTTGGTTTAAGTTTTTACTATCTATATGATAATTTACTGATTATTTTTGTTTTGTATGTTAAATGTTATCACATCCACACGTTAAATTAAAATAAAATGGAAAAAAAATTCTTCTAATATTTAATTGGGGGTGCTATGAGTAATCCAGGGGTAGCTATAGCGCCCCCTAGCACCACCCTGGCGCCGCCAATGCTCAAGAGATAAACCATCAATCCTGATCCGGATCACTGTCTGAGCTGCCATCAGGACATTTATTAGTTATTTTATGGCAGCAACTCGAAGCAGTTTTGTCCCAAACAAGCTTGATTTCATCACATCTATTCTGAGTTCAAGCAGAGTTTTGATTTGAGGCAGCACAACATTTTTAAAGGACATTAATAAAAAGGACATTTTAGTTTTTTCATCATACTGAATAAAAGAAACTAAATTGCATTCTCCCACATATTAAAGCAAAAACAACCATAAAGAGAAAAATTCTTCTGCTTTCCACCTTTTAATAACTGAATTTGGCACAACATAGCATATTTAGTTTGGTATAAAACCAGATATTTCTGACTTATTGAATGAAGGTTATAAGATTTCCTAGTGTAAAAAAATAATTGAAGTTAGTTTGGTCTCCAGCATAGGTTTTGTGATAGGGTTAAATTCAAAATGTTGGAAGAATGAAAGACTAAACAGGCTCATTCTTACATTCTGGGGTTCCACGGGTGAGGAATAATGAGGACACAATGACTACCTGTGGGTTTTAGTACACACTTTAATGGTATTTTTTACAGAAAACCTAAGAGATCTGGAGGAGATTTTCTAAAAGGCAAATTTAAAAAAAATAACTTTGAAAACAATAAATGAACTTACAGTATAATTGAATTTGAAAAAGCTGTATTAACAAAAGCGAGTTGAGGAAAAAAACACCAACTAAAGCCTGGAGGTCATAGCTTTTCTTATTGGAACGTATTTGAGGGAGATAACAAATTGCCTGCATGTTTCAAGTTTTTGTGGTTTCAATTCTTTTATTATTCAAAGAGAACGGGCGTGCACTGAATAGTTTTGCAGCCTTCATAAGCAATACTGTGTCATTCTGTGCAATCAAACCTTTTTACATCAATGTAGCTGAAAGAGCCCTCTTGGGAAAACCGACAGTCTCTTTTTGATGTGTTTTCCGCTGTTTCCCCACGCACTTTTAGTCAGCCTGTCAACGCACACAATCTACAGTGATCTCATATTGTGGACTTCCACTGAACACACAAACATTTATTACGCTCCGGATGACGGGCAAGAATGGTAAGAGAAGTTAGGACATACCATTTTAAATAAAGATACATTTAGAGATTTACCCAGATATAGTTAGTTTTTGCCAGAAAAGGCTCACTTTTAAAAGAAAGTCTAGGTTTCAGCTCCCCTTCGGATGACACTTCTCACCTGGTAGATGTTACTCTTGTTGTAGTGCATGTTCAGTATGCGGTAAAGCTCCGTATCACGGCCCACTCTCAGCTGACCCTCCCTGCCCAGACGAGGTGTGCCTTCCCTGAGTTTTACACACAAATAAAGAAACTCAGTACACAGCATTGTTTTTTTAAATCTAGCAGACAGAACTACACTATAAACACAGCTGTTATATAATTTTGAGTTTTTACAACAAAAGCAATTGAGAAGAAAACAGCTGACGTGCAGGCACGATTTCCTCAAAACACGTCTCTTGAGTTTAAATGAGGAAATTGCAACGCTTTCAACCATTGCATCAAACATAATGAATCATAGCGCAACACATTTTGTAAGCCGGTCAAACAGCAAAGTAAAAGAACAAAAAGGATAAAGTGTACAGCCAAACTCACCGAGTGAGAGCGTCGCGGACAGCCTGGCGTGCAAAGCGCTCCATCTGGATGTAAAAGAACTCTCTGAAGTTGCTGAACCATTTAATCATCTGGGAGGTCACACAGCGGTTAAACTACACAGCAAAGGGAGACAGGGAACGAAGGATGATTCTTTGATTTATTTTGAATTATAATCACAAATAATTTTTGAAGTTTCTACAATAACATAAAGTCTTTTTAAAAAATGTGAAATTGTGCATGCATGTGCCCTTTATTGTGACTAACGTGCAGCTGGTTACAATCTATTAAACTGAATGATGACGCTTCGAATGTGAAGATGCTGTCGATTGAATTTAATGTTACAGCCATCTACTCAACAAATGTTCCAGGGGACCGCAAACACCACATCTACCTGAAAGAAATCTAAACTAAAAGAGTTGGTTGAAAAGTGAAACGTAGTTCTTAAATAAACAGTGATCCCAAAACTGTCTCTTAGCATCAGAGAGGTCAAATGTCATTCTTCTGACATTGCTTTTACTGCTATGAGCTGTTAGCAGTCCAGTCTTGCATTTTATCCCATTCTTTCGTTCTTTTTTAAACACAGAAACAGTTTTGTTTACCTGTTTGTAGCTACAGTTTCGCCGACGGCTGCCGGCTTCTTCAGGCTGACGCTGATGGTGGCGCGTCACTTCCTTCTCCGTTTATCTGCGGGCAGCAGAGGACGTTGTCGCCCTCTACTGCCCGCTCTCCCCTCTCCGACGATGCAGTCCCATGCGTGGTCCAGCGTGTAAACTCCGTCGTCCCTGTCGTCCACATCGGGCAGTAGAGGGCGACAAAGTCCTCTGCTGCCCGCAGATTAACGGAGAAGGAAGTGACGCGCCACCATCAGCGTCAGCGAAAGAATGGAATTAGAAAGACA